TGAATCTCCTACGAGCCAGAATTAAGGGAAGCTAGCAAGTGGGACCAAGATGAAATAAATTGAACTTTTTATTTAAACTATTATAACTTTGGTATTTATACTTCAAATTTTATAAAAAATATATCAAAATTCATAACTTTGTATAGTATATATCAATATAGCATATACTATCGTATAAATTTCAAAACGAAAAATTCAACTATCGGAGAGTTCTTTATCTAAAATTTTTCTGAAATAGATTCAAGTATTAAAATTAAGATCTCATTGTTCAATATTTTTTTACATCTATCAACTATTATTTTTTTCAAAATAAGTCTGAAGTAACAAAAAAACTAAACTCTAAATTTATTTATTTTTACATTAGAATTTTTGACTTTTTAATGTTAAACAAGTTCATAGTATATAAAATGAAAACTTAATAATATAGAAATATAGAAAACCATAAATAGTTTTAAATTTATTTCAAATTGAACGTAAGTACACATTTTTAATACTTACAAAAAAATTAATTCACATTTTTTTACATCGGAATGTTTGAGTTTTTAAACAATAATTATTGGTCAAAATAAAATAAACACATAAATGATGTGTAATAAAATAACCAAGGATTTATGCTTTTAATTAAAAAAAATGTGTTGAGTGGGTATATCGATGGTGCTGGGTTGCACAGAAAAACTGAATTGAATTGACTAAATGAATACGTATAAACAGGAGGGGAATTAGATTTATTAGCGGACTGGGTTGCGATTAACCTAAGCGTATGTTTGATATATAATGTTATACGAAGTAATTAATTGAATCGACTGAATCTGCTCAAATGCATTTTGTGTGAAATTTTGGGAATTATAAGTTGAATCTGCTGAATATAGTTTAAGAATCGTATTCAAAAATATCTTATTGATAAAATCAAGAAAAATTATAAGAAAATTAACTAAATGATTCTCTACAAAAATAATTCAGCCAAAAAAGTCGTTCCAATCTTACATATCTCAAATTATCAAACAAGATCAAAAACTTAATTAAATTAAAGGAGATGCCAACGATTTAGGCAAGACATCGTAACAATTTACGGTGTATATCACTTTGGCGTGACTATAACGTCAATACAGCCCAGTCGTCCCTCATCCCAAATTGGTCACATTAAGGCCGATATTTCGGACAATATTTTGTTTTATGATTTCAAATTAAGATTGGTATATAGTTTAACACGACCTTCAAATCAAATTAGATTATCCTAAATCAAGATTGGTATATAGTTTAACACGAACATGTATTTACCAAACAGTGTTAGTTTTTTATCTGAAACGCAATTTTCGAAACACGTCTTAGTAATGTGGAGGTAAATTGGCCGGATTGCCTCATACTATGGCTACACAAGTGTCAATGATGAAGGACGACGGAATCTGGTTGATTTGAATAAAATGCAATATAGATTATAGAAACATACCCCGTAACAATCAGGGCACGAAACCTGAATTCAGCTTATATAATCATTTCAACCTCTGAAGTCTTTTCAAGTTTATTGAAAATAGATGCCGAGTACATGACTTGAGGTTTATTGTATATAGAAAGACTTGGTTAAAATAGATAGAATAAAATTCGGAGTGGCATTTTTATATCATTATTTTTGTGATTATGGAAATGTAGTTTCTCATATTCAATAACTAACTTATTCATTGGATGATAACAAAATAACAAATTAATGAAAATGAATGAATACTCTAAAGCTACAATGGAATGTGCATAGAACAGAAAAGATCATGCAGACGGATCCTTTCAAATAGCTAATCCCGCAATAATGTATTGTAGTGTAACACAATAAGGGTATGTTTGGCACAACTAGCTGAAAAGATACGTTTGTGAGCTTTTTAATAACTATTAGCTTTTAATGACTGAAAAGATCTTAAAGAGAAAAGGTGGTAGCTTTTTGCTAAAAAACTGACTGTTTGATTTAGTTCGATTCGGTATACAAGCTGTTAGGGCTAATTAATACTAAAAGTCACGGGCTTTTTTCAAATGTTACTCCCCGTAGCATTTTAAAAAGATCTTTTGATTTTTGAAAAGCTCTTAAAAATTGTCATACCAAACATATACTTAGAAGCTTTTAGATACGTTTTGAACAGTACAAAAGCTAGAAGGTAGAGATTTATGTCTTCCAAACATAGCCTAACACGGAGTAATATTTAAAGATGCATATTTTCAAAAAAAAACTATTCCTTATCTAGAGGCCGTTTGGCAACACTGTTTTTCAGCTTATCAGACTTATCAGCCAACTTTTTCATCAAACTCGTAACTTTTGCTTCCGCGCTCTGAATTGTGTAATAAGCAGAAAAAGTAAGGTTGGAGTTACTTTTCTGGCTGTATTGGCTGAAGTTACTGTAGATGACCATTTTAACTATTTTTACATATAATTTTTTCTTTATTTTATTAATAAAATATATTTTAAATTTTTTTCTTATATCAACAGAATCAGCCAATGCAGCCACTTCAGCCAGAACTTCTTAAATTTTAGCAGAATCAGCCAAATCAGCCAATTTTATGCTATCAAACGGGCTCCTAGTTTACTAGCTAGTTATCTATATACAATTTGTAAAGTGAAACTTCGTATTTTTTTAATATAATCATAGTTATTTGGGTTAATTATCAAAATAAGACTAATAGCCGACCAGTTTGCACAAATAGGACAAAAAAATAAACTATCTTTTATAGGATTAATTGTGTGTGTGTTGGACAAATATACCCTTGTAGCTATTGAAATATTTTAATTCATAATAAAATAATAAAAAATAATAAAAAATCGTAAAAATACTAAAAAATTAATAAAAATATTTAAAAATAATAATTTAAAAATAAAATTTAAAAACTAAAAAATATAAAAAATAAAATAAAAAATAAAAATAGGTTTTTCCTAAAATATTACTAAAAAGGGTTATGGACAAAAATGTGACTTAGTCACTATTAGTTACTATAATTGTGTTCAAATGTTACATCATAGTAACCAACATGTAGCCACTATGAACACAATTATAGTCGCTAATAGTTAAAAAATCACATTTTTGTCCACCACTTTTTCAAGAGTAATATTAGTGGAATTTTTCCAATAAAAACGCCAAAAAGAAAACCGCCTCTGCCATCCAGCACCACCACCTCTGGTCATCGGGGAAAAAATGCCACATGCATTAGGAATGCCATAATTATGGCAGATTCAATGAAAATTTTGGCATTCTCAAACAGGTATGCCATTTTTTTGACATTTTCAGAAAAAACGGCATTTTTTTACGCCGGTCAGAGGAGGTGGTGCATGGAGGCAGTACAGGCGGTGGGAAAGCCATCCATGATTTTTTTTAATTTTTTATGGATTTTTATTATTATTTATTAATTCTAAAAAACAAAATAATTGTTTTTGATTTTTTTATTTTAATATTTTATTAATTTTGTATTATTTTTATACTATTTTTATTATTTTTACGAATTTATTATGAATTGAAAATTTTAATTATGTCTTTTGACTACCTTTTAACGCATATTTAAAGGAGGACTAAGAAAGGAATGAAAAACAAGTATGTTTCTAATATGACTAATATGATCCCATTTTGGAATAAAAACATAAGATGTTTTATTTTTTATTTTTATCATAGTTTTACTCCCATTTGGGATAATTTATGTAGTTATTTTATAGACTCTAGACTTAACGATTAATTTGGTTGTTTTTATATGGATTGGAGTACGAAATTACTTTTTCAAGAAGCGCATGAACCAGGAGTGCGAAAACGACAAAAAGTCAAGGGACAAACTGGAACGAATATTTAGTGGAGTACCTAAATATGGAGTAGGATTATAGGATAGATAATACCGTGTGGGTGCCCCTATAGGAGTATAGGCGTAGGCCTTCCTATTGCTAAACGACCTCTCTATTTGGTTTATTTTAGTTGAATTTGATTTTATTTGATATTCCCCGATCACATATTTATCTCCTAAAGTACAATCAGCTCTGAATTAAAATTGTAAATATTGTACGGTGGAAAGCTTGCAGACAAGAAAAAAATGTATAAGAATATTTAAGAAATGTTATGAAGTACAATTTTTTTGTCAAAAAGAGAGACGAGATAAATTTAAGACGACAGACAAAAAGGGGAAGTTTGAAAATAATATTGAAACGAAAGGAGTACGTTGTAAATGGTACAGAATACTCGCTACGTTCCTTTTAAGTTTTAAGGGTTTTCATTCCAAAATAATATGATTATTTAGATAATACTTCAGATATATTTTTAAAAATATGTCTAATAGACATCTGACATAATGAATTATCGATGATAATTGGGATGTGATAAATATATTATTTTTAATATTTGATGTCATTGTAGGCTTGTAGTCTCCTCTACTATACTTGAATTTATTTCATCTATTTAAATTTCGTTTGGTTTTGAAATTTGTTTGAATCTATAATGTCTGGTCTTATTTTAGTAAATCTGAAGTTTGTCTAACTAATATATTCCCTTTTTGTGTTGTTTAAAACCTTTTTCACATATCTTAAACCACTTTTCATTGTTTCCTTCATGCATGACCAATTTTTCTCTGATCTTCATGGTTATTTTCACCATTTCCTTTAAAAAATGTTATAGTATTTTTTCCTTTTTTTCTTCATTTATTTTTCATTTATCTTTTTTCACTTTTAAATCTATCTTCAATCTTTTTAGTTTTTTAATAATTCCATACCATTTTTAATTAGTTTGTTTATTTTCATTTTATTATTTCTCTCTCGATATTTTGGTATGGAATATATTTGAGATTACACTTGACACATACGTACACAGTACACCAAAACCAAATTTCACTTGCACTACACTGAAGTTAGAACGTTAATTTAGACATACCAACCAAATACTTATTCAATAAATCTCTCTCTCTCTCTCTCTCATTCCATAACAAAAATCTCAATATTACATTTCCTAGGGAAGTATGTCTAGAAGGACATACTCTAAAATGAAATTAAGGTTGAATTGAAAAAATTTAAGTTTTAGGAATCAAGCTGATAATCTAATTGACATAAACAAAACCCTATGCATTATTCTTTTCTTGGAAGACAAATTATAGATTTTAGCACACATACATCACATACTATGTATATAATTAAACAAATATTTCGTAATAATTACTTCCTCTGTCCCGAAAAAATTCACCGACTTTTCTCGGTCGATCATAATCGACTGTTCCCGTTAAGTAAGTGGGGTGTTGATCATTCCTTGCCATGAAAAATTAGGCCCAAACCCTTCGTCGTCGGAAGTAGTGTTACTGTTACCCACTTTGTTGCCGCCTTCATTATCTCCTCCAAGCAGATGCCATGGAAATCCCAAGTTTGCCCTGCTCTGATCTTCTTGATCATCTCTTGGATTAGGGTAAGACCCCACTTCATATGGATTCCCAGAGCCATTCTCCACGTTCACAAAATTGAAAAACTGCCCGTTTGTTGGGGTTTGGAGAAACCCACTTCCCAGAAACCCATAACTTCCGAGAAAATCGGTGGCGTTGATCGGCGGCGGAATGTCAAACGGCGGCAGAGGCGGTTGCAGGAGGGAGGGCGGTGATGGGTTGATGATAATGGGGTCGTCCTGCCCGGTTTGGAACCGCGGCCCTCGGGCGGAATGTGACTTCTTGCTTTTCCGGCAGCTGCCGCCGACGGGGACGTTGCGGAGCGTGCCGCCTTTAGTCCAGTACCGGCGACAGGACTTGCAGAAGAACCGCGGCTGAGCGAGGCTGTAGTTGTTGTAGTAGCAGAACTTGGTGTTGGCGGAGTCACATCGAGGGCAATTCGGTGATTTCTCACACCCTCCACCATTTTGCCTCATTCTCTTCCTCTCTTGCTGATCCCCTTTTGAATTTGCCATTTCCATTATTAACTCACTGCAAATTCAGTCAGAACTAAATATACATATAAATATAAAACAACAAATTAATGTAAAAAGATTATTTTTTTACGTATCAAGATTGTACATTAATAACTCTTACCTGATCACAAGAATTTTTATGTATCTATATTTTGTATTCCAAAATATTCCAAAATAACAATGGAGGAAGTAATAATACAGCTAAGTGGAAGCAAAACCAACGTTTCAGCTCATGTATTTATATGGGGAAAAAATTCTTCATTCCCTCCGCTTTGATTTTGTATTTTTTTCTCTAATAAGTGACGTAATAATATTTACATAAGACTGACAGAGTGCTTGTAATGATTACAGACCGGCCAGGCCAGGTCTAAACCAACACATTCTCCGTAATTAATTATCTATCATTATAATTTACTCCGTAATTTGATAAAATATTCACAATCAAAGTCACTTGATTAGATTTGAATCACTGACTCTATCGACAAGACACCCTATTTTAAGACTAATGATTATTGAAGAATTAAGAATTAGTCAGATTATGATAAAAAAGGATGACATTCCGTCCCTGAGGGCCCCCAACCCCGATCGGATCGTACATTGGGAGAATGTAAGTTGAAGTATAATCTCAATCTAATAGATAGAGAGTGGAGCTCTGTCTCCGGTACTTGCAGAGGTCCTATGCATTTTTTAGCAGATGTCTTATGCATTTTTTAGCATAGCGCAGTAACCTCTCATCGTAGTTGTCGGGATTCGAACTCGGGACCTAACCCATGTGGCACTCCCTCGCTACCAGTTGAGCTATCAGATTATAATGACGTAGCCCACGTAGGGCCAGTTTTAAGTAGGGGTGCGCGCGGTCCTGAACGGTCCAATAAATTAGTAAAATCCGTAATATATTCGTGAGGTTTCTAATGGATGGTTCGGTACGTTCCGGTTCTAAGGATGGAACCATTCGATACCATGACGTTTCAGAAAAGTACTAAACGATACGGTACAATGTCAAACACATGCTAAAATTTTTGGATATATCTTACAATTAGTAGACATCATCACACCACTCAACTCGCTTGAAATGTTGATATAAATACAAGAAATTGTATACATAGTACTAAAATTCACAAATATGTTTTCTGCCTAAGAGAGTTCTTATTTAGTCGGTATCCAATTTGAAAAGATTTGCTACCTATTAATCCTATTTAAATCCTATTTAGGAAATTTTATCTTGTAAATATTCTCAATATTTTTAAGTTATATCATGACTATTCCTATTCTAATGCACGAAGACAGACTCGGGTGATATTTGATAGACAGATTTAGATTCTTAATATATAGTTGGGGTTTCCCACCAATATAACTAAACTAAAGATAATTTCCAAAAAAGCGACTAAGATGCTCATTCATGTCACTGCTCATTTCCATGTCACTGTCGGATGTCACTATCGCCTCCATCGCCGGTGTCACTGCCGCCATGTCACTGTTGCCGCCATTGCCCAGGTCACCGGCCCCGCCCCCGCCGCCACTGCTGGTCACAGTGACACCTTCGTAGTGACATCTCCGCCTCAAACTCTGATCACAGTGACACAAACACATTGACATCCACCACTACCTCCGACCGCCGACCGCCGTCGGGCACAGTGATGCCGCCACAGTGACGTCAACACAGTGACGTGCAACAGTGAAGTCGGAATTTTCATTGATTCCACCCACCGGAAGATACTCCGACCACCACCACCCTCATTAATGTAACTGCCGGAATTTCGGCGCCCCACCGCCAACAACAACAATACAGCCTGCCACTGCCGCCCCGTCCTCAGCCACCGTCGTTGCCCCATCCACAACGCCACCCCTACCCCATCCATGCCCCCATCCCAGCCCCATCCCCTGCCCCTAGCCGCCTACTCAAGTCCCCAGCCACTCCCCTCCCCTAGCTCTAGGCAATAGATCGCTACCCAGCCCGCACTCCCATCCCCTAGCCCTACGCACAAGATCCCCACCCAACTCGATCATGTCCCCAGCACCCTCCCCTGCCTGGCCCCTATCGATCCCACCAGTCCCTCTCCGACTTCGATGACGGTGGATCCATGGGCGGATCTATGTAGGGCCTAGGGTGGGCTCTAGCCCAGCCCAACCCAATTTTTTTTGTTAGTATAGAAAGAGATTTAATTTTCAACCCACTCAAAAATTAAAACTCAGCCCACCCCAAGTCTACAAGGAAGTGTTCTAAGAAGCTCTAAAAGCAAAAGGCTGCCCAAACTTTGTTTAAAGCCCATAGTCATGGGAACTCAGCTTGAACTACTATTCGAACTCAAAATCTAGCTCGTGTTCGAGTTAAAAAAAACTTCTTAAGCTAAGATCACTAAATTAAATTCGAAATCACGCTCGAATTCGCGTAGTTCGAAAAAAACTCAATTCGATTACGGCCCTAAGCAGCCTAAGCTAAACTTTTCGTTTGCAATAACAATTTTTTTCCTGCTAAGCCCACCCCACTCTTCATTCCTGGATCCGCCCCTGGGTGGATCCAGCACATCCAGGACCCGATGCGCCAACCCTGAGCCATCATCCAACGAGGTTGGCAGATCCAGAACTGACAGCGGTCGATCTCCGCCCTCGATGTTCGTCCATCCGATTCACAACCCTCAAAGCTCGGATTTAGCCCCTATGTAGTCGGAATCGCCCAATTTGTGCTCAGTCATTGGGATCCATCCCTGCAGCTAGACAGAAATAGAAGAAAAAGAAGAATGGTTGAAGATGGCGCTGCAGCATCGAGGACTTGCAGCGGTGGCACGAGAGGAAGATGGCGGACGAAAGGCGGCAGCGACTTAGTTTGAAGATGAGAGGCAATGGGAGAAGATGAGAGACGACGGGAGAAGATGAGAGGCGACGTTCTGTTTGCTGGGCTTGGCAGTTGACGGAAGAAAAGGTTTTTTAATTTTAAAAATGGTCACTTTTTGTCTAGATTAAAAAGAGTAATATTTTTGTCCATGTAAAGTTCACAAGTGACACTTTTGCTATTTTTTCTATATAGTTTCATTTGGCACAAGTAAGTTAAAAAGATGTTTTGGTGAACTTTTTAATAACTATTAGTTTTTAGTAATTTAAATGATATTTAAAAAAAGGTGGTAGTTTTTTTTTTTGTAAAAAGTTGACTATTTGATTTAATGAGCTGTGTTTGATATACAAGTTATCCTAACTAAGCTAATTAATACTAAAAGCTACAGATTTCTCAAATGTTACTCAGTGTAGCTTCTAAAAAAATTATTTTGAAAAAAGCTATTAAGAATTGTCATACCAAACATTCAAGTAGAAGCTTGTAGAGACATTTTCAATAGTACAAATGCTAGAAGGTGAGGACTTATGCATACCAAACATGAATTAAGTATATACTTTGATAATAAGAGCTTGTTTAGTAACTTTATTTTATGAGCCAATTTTTACTAGATGTGTAACTTTTTATTTTGTTCATTGAATTGTGTAATAATCAAATTAAGTAAAGTTGAAGTTATTTTTCTGACTGAATTGACAAAAGTTAATTAAGACAATTATTTTAGCTATTTTTCAAATAAGTTTTTCTTTAAAATATTAATAATATATAATCTCATTTTTTCATAATTGTGTAGATTTAGCTAATTCATCCGCACCAATAATAATATAACCAATTTAAGTAAATTCGGTCAATTTTAATACGTAGTATTACCAAATGAATTCTAGCTTTGTTGCAAGATACTTCCTGATTGATACGTAGTATGCATGAATGTTGGATCCACCTCGATCATGGGCCAATCGAGGAAATGTTTATCCCGGTTAAAATTTTGAAGTTTTATTTGGTCTGAATTGAACATATTTAGCGTATTTAAGTCATGAACTTAACTACGAGCATTTTTTGAAAGAAAAACAACTATTTATATATAATAAAAATGATTAATACAAAAGTAATCCTGATAGGCTAAGGCTACAATATGATGAGACATAGAACTGAATAGTTCCAAAGAAACATAACAATTCGCTAACCTCGCAAAGAAATAATGGTTTCACCATTTGCTGGGAGCAGTGCCAGTCAATTGTGAATCAGTATGTATATCAGGGGCTGTCAAAGCATCAAAAATCGGGGCTGCACAAGGGGCACAAAAATCATTCGTAGGGGCATTGGTAGTCTCAATCACAGGGGCACAAAAGGCACCAGCAGCTGTGATAGAGGCTGTCGCATTGCATTTGAGAGTAAAATCAGGGACACCAACAATAATAGCTTCATTCACAGAGGCATCAACATAATCAACATGATTAACAGAGGCATCAACATAAGAAGCATCACAGATAGTATTATCAGGGACACCGAGACCATCAATAATAGGGGCATAAGGGACTGCAGTCTCAGTTACAGGGGCACAAGGAGCACCAACATCTGTAAGTGATTCTGTCAGAGCAACAACAACAATATCAGGGGGCACAAACTTTACTCACATTAAGAACATTGTCAGAGGCACAAAAATCATTCTTAGGGGCATGAACTGAATTACCAATATTAGCAGCATGACTAGCAGATCCTGCACAAGGGGTTCCATTAAGGTTTGCAGCAAGAAGAAAGGATGAAAATAGTGAATAGAGAACGAAAATTTTATCATTGCCACCTGGTTGTGAAGAAATGGAAGAGACAAAAACTAACATATACATAAATTGCAAAAGTTTACCGATTCAAAAACTAACCACTTCCAACAATTATGAACCAATTCAAATGAAAACCTGCTGCAACAATTACCAATTAAAACAAAAAACCAGCTGCAACACTTACTAACTAAAACAAAAAAAAAACAGCTGCAATTTTAGAGTTTGTTTGAGTGTGGGTTGGACTTTTATCCGCTTGGTGAGGACCCCAAAGTCCTTAAAAGCTTGTACGTTTAATTGGTTTTATATTTTCCTTTTCTACACATGGTGTGCAGCATATTGTATGTTAAATCATTGCCAACCCTCTACCAAAAACCAGCAGCAACATTTACCAAAAACTAGCACCAATATTTACCAAAACCATAATGCAACACTTACAAATTAAAACCAAAAAACAGAAGCAACATTTTCCAAGTAAAACATAAGATGAATAAGCAGAAATATACTTTTATTCCTAAAAAGTTCAAACAAAAATCAAATAAAAATGAAATTAACCAAATATGCCAAAAAAGAAATTGAAACAATCAACTCACCTTTAACAATGCAACGCCGGGCCGGAGCAGTCGACGGCAGGCACGCTGGGACGGAGCAGTCGACGGCACGTACGTATAAGGGACGACAAATCTCAGTCGGAGCCGGAAATAACTGCAGCAAGCGGCGGTGGAA